CCCTTTGATAAGAAACTTTTATGTGACATGTGCTTTGTTTCTGGATGCACTTTGTTTTCGGAGGTTGGTGGTATGTCATGATCATGTGCTTGCTTTTCTAATTTACTTCCTTGGTTGTAAGCTAAATGATGAATTGCACTGTGATAATGTTCCACATTTCTAGACAACTGTGACTCTTTAAGGTAATTTTTACTGTTGGAAGATGAAGCTTTTGAGGTAGATTCATGTACGAACTTTTCCCCTGAATTTGATATAATATTTTTTACTTCCCTAGAAGGAACAGAACAATTGCTTTGGTGTTTGTCATTACATCCAGTTACAGAATTACTAAGTAATTGTTCCGATGTTACTGTTGATACTTGTTTCTTTGAATGATTGCTATGTGCTGATGGAACAAAAAGATTGCGAAATCCTAGCTTAACTGGGGGTTTGCCACCACCTTGTCTCATGAATATTTCCAAACGAGATGAGCCAGGATTTACTCCATGACTGATTTGAAAGAAAACAGGTTTATTTGAGGCTAAGTTGACATGATTAAAGTCCTTCCAAGTGTTGTGACACCTCTGAGGGCTGTCATTCTTACCAAATGATAACCGTAATGAATCTTCCCAATATGCTTCAGGTTGACCAAGTTCATTATCTATAGGATGGCTACTAATCTGAAAAAGTTCAGAATTCCTTTCTTCACAGAATGAAACACCTTTATTTACCTTCTTATTTAAGTTGGAGATATCATCTTGTAAAGACACCACTGGTTCATTTCTCTGACTGCAACAAAGAAAACCTAAAGACATTGGTTTTACTCCATACCCATTCAACTTTTTGTCTCTTCTATTAAAATGAGATACTGAAGTCAGATCACTGTTTTCTTTCTTGAATACCTTAAATTCCATTGAATCTTTCTTTAGAAAAATTGTTTCTTCTCTACTTCTCTTCTGTGGTAGCACAGTGCTACTCATACAGGTAAATGCTGAAGAGCTATCTTCCTCACTTGTTTCCACTAAACTTTCATCATCATCATGAATTTTGAGGGATAATGGTTTAACCAGTCTCTTTTTTTGCACTAAGAAGAAAAAAATGAAAAGTAACCCACTAAAACCAGCAATATTACTTAACTATCAGGTCATTTTTATCAACATGACAACAAGTAAGAAACTGCAGTACCACAAAAACCTGTAATAGTAATAGATCAAGAAACAGTCATAATCAGACATTTGCTAATGTAAGTTTTTGTTTAATTATGCATTCTTTTTCTGTCTGCTTTCAGTTTTACAAAATTGAATAATTATAGTAACTAATTTAATAACCTACTTTTTTTATTTTTACTTTATTGAAACATGTAGTGATTACTTACAGAAAGATGGACCATGCTTGGTTAGTAAAAAAAAAATGTCAGTCTTAATTTTATTACTGGATAAAAAATATTTTTGCTTCTGGATTACTTTTCATAATTTTTTTCCTTGTAGTAGTTAGTAATCAAATACTAGGATAAGACAAACATGATTATTTCTGTTCAATATACTACCTAATTCTCTACAGGTAAGTCTCTCAGAAACTCTTCTAAACAAAACAACAAGAAAAAGAGTACACATTTAAAGCTTATATTGCCTGATATGCACAGAGCAAGTAAAAACTTTCAGCAGGGTCATACAGTTTACATGCACAAATAAGCCACCTATTCAGTGCATTAAAATTAAAGCAAGCGGTTATTTTTATTATTATTATAGACTTCAACTACCCACAGCAATCTCATTATTCTCTGTATTTAAGTATTTGTACCAACATGCACTCTCTTTCTCATGCTGCTATTGGTGGAAGCTGATCTATGGTATGGATAGTACCAGAGGCATATATTCAAAAACCATACAAGTTCAGTAACAAGAAGTGATTTGTTAGGCTACACCTCCCAACTGAGATTGTCTTCACAATAAAACTAATGTTATCTGATTAGGTACTGAGTTTCCTTATTACTAATTCCCTATCGTAAGGTAAAAATATAATAGTTAGAAATTTTATACTACAGAATTAATTGATGCTATTTTAACTTTGTTTTACTTTTAGTTAGGTTTCTTTATTACTATATGGTCAACATTGTTTAATCCAATATAGTAATTTTTTTATAGTGAAAGTCTCTTCCTTCATTAAAGAAATACTGAAAATTTGGTTAAGCAACTAATTTCTAAAATGTAAATGTGTATCCTGTAAAAATTAAACATTACAGCAGCTTAGCATGCGGAAGTAAAACAGTTTTGTTAGCACAGTAATACTACATTATCTGAATAGGCATTCTAATTTCCCCAAAAGGGGGCCAAAGGCAGCCGGGAAGGGTCATCTGTTTTAACCACTCGCGCCACTATACAGTAGTGCATTGTCTGTTAGTCAGTCAGTAGACACTAAAATGACATCACATAATGGACATTTAAAGTTGCAATTTGTATTGTCAGTAAAACATGCACTCTGTAGGCTACAACACAGCATGACATATGAATTTAAAAGCATGAAATAAAAACGTTTGTTAGTCTTAATTTTACATTAATTTTTACAATGTTTTACTTCAAATTTAAGCTAGTCGAATAATGTCTAAATTACTGGGTTTTTACTTGGCCTAATATATAAAATGACTTTGGTGGGTTACAATGCATTTCAGTAGCTTTGTAGTTATAGATACAATACTTATGGCTCCAAATTTTTGCAAACACTCTTATGAATATTTAAAAAACACTATACACCAAAGCTTCTGAAGACATATCTTACTAACTATAAAAGTGCATGCAGTGCAAAAGACAATGGAATCACCATAAGCAGCAAACTGAACAGTTTAACTCTCTTGCTACAGGCTCGGTTGAATCAGCCATGTTCATGACCTCAAATGGACCTTTATAGTTTCTATAGTATAATAACTTTACAAGCTTTCAGTAACCATTAACCCTATCGCTTGGGATCACGGGACAACGGCCATGTCATCGTGTTTGTTGACTTGCATTCAAAATTTTATGAACTTATGGTCAATAAGTTTGGTATCAAACAGTAGATTATAATT